GTAGCAGCACAATTTTTGTTTTGTACTGTACGTTTCTCAGTACTATATCTTAAAATCTGTTACTACACTAGACCTGCTTAGGCTAAATAAATATTCTAATATTACTAACTATAATGATGAATTACACATTATTTTAGTTATTTACATAGTAATCTGTATAGAAGCAGTTTGGGGCAGCGAGAACGGTTTGGTTTGCCAACCTCGATGTCAGGGTTTCAATCCGTCGCTGTGCATTTCACTTGTGTCCTTAAAGCAATTGCACTTTATCTTCATTGTTTCTCTTCATTGTATCTCTACCCAGGAGTATAAATCGGTACCTGGTGGGGTTGCCTGCTACTGCGCCAATAAGGCAGCAACACTTAAGCATGTGGATCCAATGACCACGAAAAAAAAACTTACAGCGCATCGCAACTGAATGGAAAAGTGCTATACAAGCAACAAGTATACTCAGCCTGAAGGTGGCGCTTTTCTTAAGGTGGCTATCTTGTTAAGTACCAATACAGAATCCTGCATTCCTTCATCACCTAGTTAGCACTCTAGTTATTATAATACCTCAATGTTCATAACATAACCTCTTGCTCGATAAAGTGCAAAAGCTTTAACCACTGAGCCAAACAAGTTATACTGCAGTACATTTCTGAAAAGTCCCGCCCCCACCCCAAGTGTCCACAAAACAGTAGTGTAAACATACATAAACATGTGTGTTTTTAGGACACGCATATATTCCCAGCTGTGTTCTGATTGGTCAGTAGTTAAGTTTGATTGACACTTTAGAAAGTTCAATTAGTTGAACCATGTTACACACACTGACAAATAATGTATCTTGAACCTATATCCATGGACTTAAAAATTGATAATCTTATTTCTGAAATACTTACCAAATTACTCCAGAGTATATAGATGCCAGGGTCGGGTAGCCGACTACTGTTATCACCATGGAAGCTACTGCCAATATGTTCCAATGACACGTCTCAATAATTAACTGTCGATCAAATACAACATAATAGTACTGTATTAATTCAGAAAACTTAACATGACTTATATCATATATACTCATTGCAATGTCTTCTAGGTTAAAAAAACATTTTACTTAATTAAAAAAAAAAAAAAAAAAAAAATTAGTTTATATAGGCAAGGTCAGAAGTAAAAATCAGAGGTCAGAGTTCAAAAATACTAATGATGATAATAATAATTTTGGTATGCAAAAAAAAAAGAAAAAAATTTAAGAAAAGTACAAGTTAAAAAGGTGAGTTTTTGAAGCTGCCTTAAAATCAACAATGGAGGTTGCCTGGTGGATTGTAATAGGCAAAGCATTCCAAAGACAGACAGAGGCCCAAGAAAAAGAACAAAAAAATGGTAATTAGGTTTCACACTTAGTTTACATTACGAACAATATAAATTTAATCTGACTTTCAATATCAAAATAAACAGTATAAGCTCAGTTCAGACTATAAATATTTATGTGACAAATATCTGTGACTGTATATTTATTATCACGCCCATATATGGACAAATCGCATATTTTACACAGAAAGTTTTATAGTGTCGACAAAAATATTAATGGAAAGGCAAACAAAAAGATCTTGAATAAAAAAATGCAAGTTTTCATTAGTTTACTATGAAAATTCAAGTTAATACCTTTAAATTGACAACGATCACACAATTTGTAAATATAATTGTACCAAAACTCCAGATCCCAAAATTCTGTTAGAGTAAAAACAAAGAAATGGTGATAAAGTATGCAACTGGTTATTATCATTGGTACAGAGAACCAATTTTTAAATGAGTTTTATACATAAAAAAAATAATGCAAAAAGCACAACTATTAAGTTATGACTTACATGTTGTTCTTTTTGAAGAGCAATATCGTCTCCTAGCAACCAAATGGGAACATAGTAGAAAAGAAAGGCGTGGTAGAAACCTGCAAGAATGACATAAGCATATTATAATGTGTATGACTTTGATACTACATCGACTTCCTTCAAAATTTCTTTGCATTTCATATTCTAAAAACAATTTATAAGTAATTAGTGCTTGGATATCAGCTGTAGAGAGTGGCACTCAGCCATCCATCCATAAAACGAAATGATTCAGAAGTTGACCAGAGAAACAAGGTGACCTCCCCCCACCCCCCAACACTGTTGCAAAAGTGAAAACTGGGTTCTTTAAGGGGCATGAACCAGGTGCGTACACTGGGATTCAAGTTTTAAGCCACCATTCAAGAAGACTTGGTTTTACCAACAACCATAAGTGAATAGGGTCCTGAGCCTGTGACAATGTTAAGGCAAAACATTGAAATTGAATTACCACTCACCTCACCAAACAAACAATGTACCCACTAAAATTCGCCCTAAAAAATTTACCTTAAAATTAAATGGTGCCTGCCACAACACCAACTCCCCACTAAAAAGCATTTGTGAGCTATCGTGACAAAACAAGTCTTGTGGTACGAAAAATGAAAAATAAGTTATTGATATATATTTAGATAGATGAATATATAAGCTTTACTTTGGTGTTTAAATAATGTTCCTATGTTGAGTAAAACAGGAGTAAGAACATTTTAAAGTTCAGATGTCTAAAAACATACTTAAGAGAATATTGCCTCTAAAGATAAACAACTAATAAATTTTGTGTTACCGAAAGGTCCACTGATTAATCTCAGATAAGAAAGTATAATACATACTCCAAGTATTGAAATACACGCCATCGTGTTGGGATTCAATATTTCGACATTAATTATGTCATCATCATGATGATGACATAATTAATGTCGAAATATTGAATCCCAACACGATGGCGTGTATTTCAATACTTGGAGTATGTATTATACTTCCTAAATTTTGTGTTGGTTTTCCTATTAATTTTGCTTTAAAAAGTGCCTCAAAAACATGATTACATTAGGTAACTCAACTCGGATACATATAATAAAATACATATTAATCTTATCAGAAAAATTGAAACCCAATTTTTGTCAAAATATCGTTTCAAATATATTTTCTTGAATATATCAAATCTTCTTTATTATTACTTCCTTTTATTATTTATTTTTTCTGTATTATTATTATTATTATTTTTAATATTATTATTATTATTATTTACATTGTTCTTATTATTACTATTATTATTATTATTATTATTATTTTTATTATTATTATCATTATGTCTTTGCCTTTTTCATTGTTTCTCTGGTAGGCATCTTGTACAGGGACATGTTCCCTTTTTCGCCTACCAGACTCATTTCGTTTTGAGAGAAAAAAATTATGAATTATGAACTATGAGTTATGAAAAATTGACCCTGCGTACCACAACACTCCTTTTTCACGACAGCTCGCATTTATGATCACAATCTCACAAAATTAGCCAACACTTTGAATTTCCCCTCTGACATCACTTCCCCAATCCTATCTCACCAGGATAAAGAAAACTTACCTAAAATACACCAATAGCAGCATTCCCAAAGGCTTAGCCTTGAGTTTTTGGATATTTCTTTGTATAACAGTGGATTATTCAGCAGCATTTTCTTTGGTAAGTGTTGCTCAAAAATTCCATATATCATAATTGGTAATGCTGTACACGTAATATTGTAAAATGTCAAATAAAAACTCTCAAAGACAGTCTGAAAGGAGGAAAAAAAAGCCCAAAAAATATTTAATATTCCAAATATAATAAGTTAATCAAAAAGATTTAATTAAAAATGATATGGTAGTTCGTAGACAAATCAGAATGAACTTTTTTTTTTTAATTTTTTTCAAAAATTTCATTAACAAATTTAATTCTCATCCAACAGGTGCCTTTTTTCAGCATAACAAATGACACTGCTGAAGAGCACAGGCGTGTCACAAATATTCATGTGAATTAAATCTTTAATAAATAGATTACGTCCTTTATTATACATTCAATCATTTACCTGTTGAGAAAACTGTGTGTAGAAGGCATAGAAGAATTGAGCTGTAATGA